TCGTTTGGATTCTGTTTGGATTGAGCCCCATGTGATAACGTCCTATGACTAGACATCTCATCTCTCAAACTGTGGGGGAGGGAGGCCAATATGGGTCAGGACCAAGCTATTCAAAGAAGGCTATTCCAACCCATTCCTCCTATGCCGTTTAATTTATAATCTGCCCACCCGCCCTTCCTCTAGAGCTACTGTTTGGCCCAGAAGTAGGAAATTGGTATTAAAAGGAAATTTAAACCACTACTCCCCAGTGCCATGTTACTGATCCCAAACAGACCCTTTCTCCTCCAGCCACTTTTTCCATTATAAAAGCCACACAGACAACATCTGACGGTCAAATCCCTGTCTCATAGCTGCAATCGTAAGACACATGAAATACTACTCAGACAGTTCACTGTTGTTAAGATATTACCTTGCTGCGGAGGTCGGTAGGGGCCCATCGGCCGTTGTCCCATCATGCTGTTTCCTTGGTTACTCTGACTCATCATGGCAATGGAAGACTGCCCCTGATAATGCTGAGTCCCTGCTTGCGCAGAATTGTAATGTGATGTTGCTGCTTGCTGGTGCATCATGGACACTGTAACACGTACAAACGTATATGGTGATCCTCAAAATCTATATCTATATCAGTGGTGCGTAAAGTGAGGCTCGCAGGCTGAATGCAGCCCTTAGGCTCATTTTTATGGCCCTCAAGGCTCGAGAAAAAGTTTGCAATTTTAGTGTCATTGAGGTTTTAAAATGCATTTTGGGAAGTGTGCAAGGTGCAGAAGGTCACAGTGGACAAAACTGGCCCTCAGATCATGCTCCTTCCCGTCTTACAGCCACTAATCTTAAAAACATGATGAAAAATATCCCATATGTTTACTCTGTCTCCATTTCCTCCCCTTTCTTCTGTCTATTTTTGTACGCTGTAAGGCTTTCAGTACTAAGAGCTCATTTGAAAAGAGAGACAGCTACTTGTGATCAACAAATGAAATGTCAAGCCAAAAACCAGGCAACCCTCAGAGCTACACAAGAACTCTTCAGCTGTTCAATTCTGAACAAGATTCCCTGGGCCCTTCCACACTACACAACTGTAGCACTGTGATTCCACTTGAACTGCCATAGTGCTATTCTATGGAATCCTGGAAATGGCAGATTACAGAGAGGTATTGAGAATTTCCAGCCAGAGAACTCTAGTGCTTTGCATACTAGAAACTCCAAAATTCCACAGGATGCAGCCATGACGGCTGAAGTGGAATCATAGTGCTACACATGTGTAGTGTGAAA